TAGGTGTTCATTCTCATGACCGTTCTGAGAAACTGAGGCTTGTATCTCCAGTTTCAGAAAAGATAGCTAAGGTGCACTTAAGCCAAAATGCTCTCCTTCCTTTCAAAAAAAAAAAAAAGAATAAAGTAAAACCTATTTTCAAGGGTAATGCTGAGGAAAATAGGGAGGAAACTTCAGTGGGGAGTGGCATTTTTCGTAACTGAAGCACAGCCTTGGAACACTTGGTCTCCTTGAACACGTGACATTTAGAGGCCACATTTGCCTGCCATCTGCACTGGGCAACAAGTGGAGGAGCAGACCTGGATATGAGCCTCTGACTCTATCAAAAAGGGGGAGGTGGACCCGTGTGATATCCAGGGTTCCTTTGGGTTTCTCTAAACTCTTCTTTTGGTCATAGCCATGCTGTGGTATATTAGCATCCTGTTTTCTGCATCTCTGGACCACTCTTCCTGATATGCCGGCTCCTGAATCCACCCTCTCCACCCAGTTAAGGGGCACCACTCTCAAGATGGGTGAACAAAATTTAAAATAGCCACTTTTCATTTTCCCTTTCCCAGTAGCTCGGATATGTAGTTATTCTGTACATTTGGGCAAGAAGGTTTGGGTAAAACTGAGTCTACATCTAAGGATTAGTAGAATGAGCTAGAAGAAAGGCGTGGTGTATGTAAAAGGCCATCATGAAAGGAATTATGGAGAAGCTGCAGGAGAATTAGGTGAAATCCCCAGCAGCCTTCTGAGGGCTCGGTGGTGATCTGCTTTATCCAGATCTGTGCCTGTCTCCTGCGTACTTCTGCACACTACCCTGCCTCCTCTTTGCTCTTTTAAACAGAGGGCTGGCAGAGCCACAATCAAGGCTAAGTCCAAGTTCTCTCCAGAGCGAAACTGTGAGCATACTTCCTTACGGAATAGTTCACATTCCATCTAGTGTTTGTATCTCCCTTCCTGCAGAGATGTAGGAGGCATGACATTTGTGCATCTGAGCCCAAGTATCTAGATGTAGGACACGCAGTAGTTATCTATGGACTTTGATGCTAGTCACCTCTGAGCTTCTTCCTCCGGTCTTTAGAACATAGGCTCAAGCCTCAGACCCGTGGCTAGTTCTCTGGGAGAAGTGCTTTGGGAGCTGGCTCAAGAATGCGGATATCAGCAGTAGAAGTTTTATCTTGGCTTCCTAAGTAAATGGATCCCCCTCCCCCACATCTGTTCTGCTGAAATGAAAGGATACAGAAATCCCAGGGGGAAATGGATGTCCCAAGGTTAAGTCCTAACTGTAAACAAGCCACCAGAACTGAGTCTCAGTTTCTTCATCTTGAAAACAACAGTATCCCTTGCTTTGCAGTTGCTGTACATGGATATCTGCGTTCCCAGGTACTAGTTGAAAAAGACCCTCAGTACCTTTGACTTCTTTTTTTAAAACCTTGTGGCCCTAAGGATTGAACCAAAGCCCTTGCACATGCTGGACAAGCACTGTATCACTGAGTAATGGCCCTAGCAGTTATGGCCCTACATCTCCCTTGAGGGAAACAAGAGAATCAAGGCCAATGTGACGTTAAGGAGGGTCAGAGATGCCGCGGAGTCTGAGGTGCAGCAGAGGGATTCCAGAATCTAGTCAGAGAATATGGCTACAGAACCTGACCCTTGGATCTACAAATCTTTTAACAGCTTCACAAGGGTCAAGTCAGGTGATCCACCCTTGTGCTATGGGTTTTTTTTGTTTGTTTGTTTGTGTTTTGTTGTTTTGAGAAGAATCAACAAATCAAGTTTTTTCCTTCTGTCCATCTGGATAGCTTGAAGTATCCCTCCCCACCCCCAGTAAAAAAGATTCTGAAACCTACCCAGTATTTTCATGTTTGAGAACTTGCCTATATGAACATAAAAAGATTGATTAAAACATTTTCTTGTCCAATCAGCTATAAGAGGTGAGACCCTTGATGACTCACAGTGGGATTTTACAATTGATGTAGTGGAGAAACGTGCGGTCGATTCTATTTAAAGTGAAATGCTGATTGTAGTGAAGTCTCATCACTCCTGTGTGCGTGTTGTAGCATTGAGCTCCTTGTAGAAACTTTTCCAGAAAAAAAAAAAATTGAATGTCAACAATAAACATTCTTTGTAACAGTACAAATGGCCAAATGTATTTTCTTGGTGTTTAAGCCCCAGGCTCCAGAGTGAAAGTCATTGGAGGGCATCCTCTGTAAAGAGGCAGGGAGGAGGGAAGAATGGATGTAAGGGTCTAAGTAATGATGTAAGAAGGATGTGTGATCTAAGGCAGATATAAGGACGTGAGTAAGTAGGGAAGGAATAAGTGCAGTGAATCAAACCTCCTGGTTCTTCATTTGTAGGATGACTGAGCCTTAGTAAAAAGAACTTAGCTGTTGCAAGGCAGGCTGCTTGTTCTTACCGGCCGATGGCTAGCTTAGCCCTGAAATAACCACACAGAAACTGTAGTAATTAAAACACTGCTTGGTCCATGAGCTCTAACTTCTTATTGGCTATCTCTTACATCTCAGTTTAACCCATTTTTATTAATCTATGTATTGCCACGTGGCAGTGGCTTACCGGGAAAGATTCAATATGTCTGTCTCTGGTGGCTCCATGGCGGCTCTTACTCTGCCTTTCTTTCTCCCAGCATTCAGTTCTGTCTTCCCCGCCTATCTAAGTTCTGCCCTATCAACTAGGCCAAGGCAGTTTCTTTATTCATTAACCAATGAAAGCAACGCAAGAACGAAAGGAACTTAGCTCTAGTTTTCTCTCATTTACTCTGTGACCTGGACAGTTCCCAAGTGCTATCTTCCCTTCTGTGAGGATGTATGTGGCGTCATTCCCAAATCCCCAATGAGAGGAGATGTTTAAAAATGGTCTGCAGCTTGCTGGGACTCACAGCTAGGACATGATACCTTAGGACTGACTGTCAAATCATCTACCCAGATCCCAGGCCTCCCTCAACTTTCTTTCATGATCTCGACAGCTGGGGAGACTCCCTTGGAAGGTAACCTGATGTGTCCTGGAGCCTCTGGCTGACGTTATACTAATACCCATGGTGGAGAGAGCAGATGAGAGCCTGAGGACTGTCATCAGAGCTAACTGAGCCTAACTGATATCCATGGTGGGGAGAGCGGATGAGAGACTGCAGACTGTGAGCTAACCGAGTCTTGTCACTCAGCACCACCAGCTTTCTGGGTCAAGAGGAGGCGGGGCTTCGGCTCATGGTGATGCCAGCAAAGGTCCTTCACCTTCCCATGGCTAGTCTGTCAGAGTAAATTAGAAAAATTCCAGAGTCTGGGCCAGAGCCTGGCCTCACCTTTGCCTCCTACTCCATGTTATGCTGCCCCTTTGTGGGAGCACAAGGAACTGTCCACATTACCCCCAAGTTTGGGACTAAAGATACCCAAAGGAGGGTGACAACCAAAGAAGGAGTGGGGAAACCAACAACTCAGTAATAGTTTCTGGAATTTACAGATATAAAAAAAAATAAATCTTCATGTCTTACATACTGTATGTTTTAAATAGCAGTGATTATTTATATGTAAATATATTTTAAAATAGTAGTAAATTTATTTCAAATTTCTGTACCCAAAATTCCATTTAAAAACCGCACAAAATATTCATAGTTCAAATTTCTCAAAACCTTGAACATCTGGGTTTTTCTGCATTGTTTTGTTTTTTAAAAATATTGTTTTGTTTGTTTGTTTGTTTTTATTCCCTTCCTCTCTCATCATAGGAACTCAATTCCAATCAGTTTTCTGAGTTTTCACCAGCTTCTAGGAATGTTTATGATTTTGGAAACAGTACGAGCATGAGCAGGACAGACATGGGCACAATAGTGGTTTAACCAGCACATTCCAATGATGGAAACCGAAGGCAGGGCATTTTCTGGTAGTCAGACCCTGTCCTACAGTAGAAAGCTTTAACTCTGTTTTGTATCATTATTCCTCATTAAACCAGTATTCCAACTACAAATCTCTAAGGCACATTAGATTTTTGGTGGAAAGTTTTTTTTTTTGTTTTGTTTTTTGTGGGTTTTGTTTTGTTTTGTTTTGAGAAAAGATTATCAGTGCTGGGATCCAGGAAATTAAAAAAAAGAAGAAAAATTCAAATTTAAAAGCGTTGGTCTGCTAACAAACTGGCCCTGAGACCTCTCATGAGTCCTTAAGCAGATCTAGCTCTCTCCTGTGCTCTCTGAGGGTTTTCCAATTCTGTGATAACTGAATCTGTGAGTCGGGAAAGGAGCGAACTGTTTGATGAGATAGAAGACCAACACAGCTTCACTTTCTCTGTTACACCTCACATGTCTCGAAAAATGCGTTATCCTGTTGGTAAACTCCACTGTGTAAGGTTCTCTACATCAGGGGCATGCCTTTCTTGGGGAACATTGGCGCTCCAGTGTGGAACTAAGAGTTTAAAGTCCGTCACCAATTCCTGTCACAGAACATTAGGATCTGTGTTGGCAGCTGTCGGATTTTAGATAGATATTTCTTTTTCTGCCCAGATCCTGGCTTGAATGACATTCCCTTTGAAGACCGCCCCTGAGCCATGGACTCTTAGTGCCCCAGGAAGCTGTCATTTCCCTTCTCTGGGAACGATTCCTTCCTTCCTCAAGCTCGTCCCACTTTTCTGGCCTGTCATGAGTTTAGAGACTCTTCTACTCGTGAAATGGTATCCTAGATAGCGCCGTCTCTATTTTAATCTACCTCGGTGATTAATGCCAAATGATGAGACGGAATTTGAACAAAGAGAAGGCACGCACAATTGCTCATATAGAAATTTTAGCAGAGGCAGAGCTAAATGTGCATTGGAGCATCCCATTTAGAAGATTCTGATGTGTAGAAGACAGTGTTGATTGGATTGTGAGGTTTATTTTAGTCCATTTCATGCTACATTGGTTTTGACTACGATGTCTTGATTTATTACTAGAATAAATAACAGTTGAGATAGTAGAATGGGTTTCAACTCTCATCTTGTAATTTGCTTCCGTATCTCCATGACAACACACTCTCTTCCTCCCTTCCTTTGACATTCACACACAGTCCTGTGCATGGCTGTACAGATGCTGCCGTCTGTCGAGTAATTCCACAAATCTCCATGCTTCAGTCCACCTACAGGAAGAAAAAGGCAAAATACATGGACCACTTTATAGCTGTGTGTCCCTATGATGTGGAGAAAAGCAACCAGACTGGGAGCTGAGACCTGGGGGTTCTAGCTTTCTTTCTGAATTAAGGTAGCAAAGGGAAGGCAAATGTCTTCATTCCGGGTCTGAAACCCATGTTTGTTACGTGGAAAGATTAGGCTGTCTGGCCTGGTTTCTTCCCTGCCAAGTCCGCTGATCTAGGACCGCCCCTGTCAACCCACTTGGACTGTGTTTACGGAGTGGCCACTAGAACTGTGGTCTGGGGGGCACATCTCCGAAAACCCATATATCAAGAAGCCTCTCTGTGTGAGAAGCTTCCTCTGTTTGTATAATTAGATGTCTCTCCAGGCTACAGTAGGAGCAAAAAGCAGATATAGGCAGCTAGTTCAATAAATGTCCCCAGTCTCTTTAAGAGTATTACAAAATGACCATATAATTTGTACAAATATATTGTCTGAGCCTCTCAGATTTCAAGGCCTCCAGGAAGATTAGTTTAAAAGCACGTCCTTGAATTAAGTAATACGCTGGCGTCAGCTGTGGATGCTTCCACTTGTCATCCCAGCCATCCACAGGCTGAGGCTGGAAGGATGCCGCAATGTCAAGGCCAGCCTCGGCTACGTAACAATAGCATCAAGAAAAGAAAGGGGTTAGCTTCAAATCATTTCCTGTTATACTGTGGTGACATAAATGGATCCCCCCCCCCTCAGTTGGGCACTAATTATTGAATAAAAGAAAAGAAATAAAAGGAAGGCCATATCGGCTCCTAGGTATGGTAGAGGGGGAGGCTTACTGTGGATAAAAGGGACAGCCTGAGGCAGGGAGAACTGGGAGAGTTCAGAGTGAACGTGATGGCGAGCAGGGCCACGAGACGAGAGATGGGGAGGGAAATCTAGGAGCATGAAGGGCAGATGAACAAGGGGCCAGGTAACCAAAATGCCTGGGTTATATAGGGAAGGGAAGGACTGCTGGGGGAAGGGCAGCCCAGCCCCCCGGGGTAGGGGTGGAGAAACTTAGGGTAGAGTGGTGTGCCAGCCAGACCCTGTAACAGTAGGTCTGCTTTGATATGTTAAATAGGTACCTCTGTTAGCCCTGGTTTGAGACCTAACAATTATGATATGGTATTTTTTTCCTCTTTTATAGGTGTGTGGCACCCATGCGCAAACACGCACGTTTGAAAATATAGGCTACTACAAGATTTGTTCATGCACAGTACTTAGGTGAAAGAGTTGCACAGCTGGCAGGCTACCACCGTGGGTTCTGCATATGGGCGCTTCAATTTTACATCAGTTCCCTGGGACACCTGACCTTCGTTTCCAAAGCCAGAACAAAGTGAAGAAAAGCTATATTCCTTGTGGTGACTTATACCAGTTCCTTAAACTGAACCATATCAGTGCAAGCCAAACACCAAGGAGGACAGTTTGTGGTGTTGGCTGGCAGAGGGCGTGGCTTTAGGACAGTCACCCACCCTCATTTTAACGTCACTGGCAGCTGTGCTCCTTTTTATCTGTTCTTTGTGCTGTGCATTTCCTGGGATTATATTCAATATTTTTGGAATTTAACTTTCAATTTTCAGGATGTATAGCTTGCATTAACCTTTCAGTCACCAGATCCAGCAGATTAGGAGATAAAGTCCCAAGGCATTCTATTTCAGGACTTAGCATTTTTGTTTTATCATTTAGAAATGCCATTTTAGCTGCAAGAGGCTTGGTTATTCTTCAGTGATTCCTCAACTTAATTGTATGGTGCGGTGACCTTTGCAAAACCAGCCCATTTGTCTCGTGTCCTAGCAGAAGGGTCTTAGGAGAACTCAGTTACATATATTCAGTCGTTTGCCATGAAGATCCAGTGCCCCCAAACAATGGCACAAATCACAAATAATAAATGAAAATAACAGTGAAAGATAAGTAGTAACAAAATCGTGACGTGTAGGAAAAGTAATAAAAGTCAAGATCAAAAAAGGTCACAGTAAGGTCACAAAAAAGGACGAAAACCACATGCCATAAAGGGCCATGGGGCTAACGTGTTTGAAGCCAGACACTGAGCTTTCTCCTGGCTCAAGTTAAGAGAAACATGCTTAGCATCATAGGTCTCATTGTGAGAGAGAAAGGAGAAGAAAGGAGTGGAGGTCTTTTAACATGTTAATAAAATTTAATTCTACTGGAAATAAAAATGTGCTTGCCTTGAAAGGACTGGTGAGATGGCTCAGCAATAAAGGGCGCTTGCCTGTAAGCCTGACGAAGCAAAAAGCCAACTCCTGCAAACGTCCACCGACATCCATACATGTGCTGTGAGCACACACACAGACATGCCACATATGACACATACATACCACACATACATCACACATATATACCAAACACACACACATCACATACCATACACACACACTCACCACATATAACACACACATACCACCCACAAACCACACACACTCACCACATATAACACACACATACCACATACACACACCACATATAACACACACATTCACCACAAATAACACACACATACCACATACACACCACACATACATACCACACACATACCACATAACCATATCCATGTAAAATGAATAATTAAATCAAATATATTTTGGATCACAATATTCTTTTTAAATCTTTTTTCCAATTTTACTAAAAGTAGATAATTTTCTCATATAAGATATCCTGATTACAGTCCCTCTTCCTCTGCTCCTCTCAGTTTCCCCTTCCTCTACACCTGCCCTCCCATCCAGATCCACTCCCTTTCTCTCTTTCATTAGAAAAGAACAGGTTTTGAGCCAGGTTGGTGGTCTAACCCTTTAGTCTCAGCAACTGGGAAGCGGAGACAGGTGGATCTCCATGAGGTCAGAGCCAGACTGGTCTATATGTGAGTTCCAGGACAGCCAGAGCTACATAGTAAGACTGAGTCTCAGGAAAGAAGAAGAAGGAAGAGGAGGAGCTTTTTAAGACATAACAACAAAACATAGCAAAATAAAATATAATCATCTAAAACAAAAATCGTCACATCAAAGTTGGACAAGATAAATTAACAAAAAGCAAAGAGCCCCAAGGAAAGGCACAAGAATCAGAGGCCCTCTTGTTCACACAGGAGCCATAAACATGCTGCACTGAAAGCTACACGTATGCGGAGGACTCTTACAGCCCTGAGCTTGCTGCTTCAGTCTCTGTGAGTTCCTATGAGCGTGGCTCAGCTGACCTAGAGGGCCTTGTTCTCCTGGGTCCTCCACACCCTCTGGCTCTTAAGAAGGTGTAGGGTTTGATGGAGATGACCCATTTAGGGCTGTGTGTTCCAAAGCTTCTCTCTCTCTCTCTCTCTCTCTCTCTCTCTCTCTCTCTCTCTCTCTCTCTCTCTCTCTCTCTTTGGTAGTTACTTTTCTCCATATTGGACATCTCTTCTCTCGGTTATTAGTATGTCTGCCACTTATCTACTTTTTGACAATCTATTGTAGCCCAGGAATCTAAAACAACAGATTGATTTAAATTGTAAAGAAAACCTACTAATTATCTAAAGAGACAGTGAAAACACCGTGTGAGGAGCTGAGTGACATACTTTACCAGGGAGCTCAGGGATTTGTGATTTATGTTTTTTATTTTTACACGTTTGTGTATGTGTACGTGTCCATGTGTGTGAGTGCAACTGAATGCCATAGCACAAGTGTGGAGGTCAAAGGGCAACCTCTGGTGTCAGTTCTCCCCATCCACCTTTTTTGAGACAGGGTTCTCTTGTTTGCTACATATGCCAAACCAGCTATCCCACAAGCTTCTAAGGACTCTCCTGTCTCTACCTTCTCTCTCGTAGCACGAGTGCCAAGGTTATAGATGCTTGCTGCTGTATCCAGCTTTAGGTGGGTTCCAGGGATTTGAAATCATGTCCTTATGCATGGAAAGCCTTTTACCCACTGACACATCTCCCCAGGCAGCCTCTTAAACTTTCATATAAACTCGTTTGTAGGATTTTATCTGATTCAAGATGACATTTTTGCTCTTTGGTACTATGAGTCTCCGTGAGTATAATCACTAAACAAAATGCAACAGCGTGTGTCTGATTTCTAACCAGGTTTTGTGTCCTCTAGAAGTTCATATATTAAAGGCCTGGTCTCCCCAGCTTGGTGCTACTGGGAGATAGTGGAACCCTTAAAACGTGGGGGCAAGTGAGAGGTGGGGACAACTGGGAGGTCCTCGGGTCATTAGAAAGGGTGGGTGGGACCTCAGTCCTTCATTTTCTTCTGTGAGCTACTTTATGCCTTAGTTAATTAAATATTTCTGTAAGGGCTCATGGAAGAGACCAGTTGGTGAAGCTGAAACCATTACAAGTTGGATCCCTAGAACTGACATTTAAAAAGCCAGATCTGGAGTTACACAGAATCTCAGTGCCGAGGAAACAGAGACAGGTAGATCCCTAGGGCTAGCTAGCCTGCTAGTCTAGCCTACTAGACAAGTTCAGGCCAATGGATGAACCTGTTTTTTAAAAAGGGGTGGGTGACACCACTTCTGAAGAATGACAGAGTGTGTGTGTCTATGTGTATGTGTGGGTATCTTTAAATCTACCATAAAGTTGAACAACTCTCCAAGCTATCTCTGGGCTCACAAATCAAGCACAGTGATGTTTTTGCAAACATTTTTCTCATGGTTTAGGCTTATGCTTCAGAAATTCTTGAGAGGGCCTGTGGCCAGGAAGTTACAGTAATATTTCTCTTTGGCTGAGCTTCTTGACCTAGTTTTCTAAATCTAGTTTGTGAATAATCGTTGGGAAAAAATGTGTCCTCAACAGCTGAATCTGTTCTAAAGAATCCACTTCACTCTTGCTTTAAACAACATACAAAATAAATATATTAAACTGAAATAAGTAGTCCCCCCAACTTTCCATGATGTTTTAGGAAGCTAGTAGAAAAATTTCACCTGTCCTATCAATGAGTTTATTTATTTGGGAAAACACTCCACTGCTGAGCCTCATTCCCTTCCCTCC